AGAGCACAGCTGGGGTATGATCAAGCACATACGGATGCACGGGATCTGGCAATGCGGACAACTTGACATCAGCAACTTCATTTGCCTCGGTCGAACCATTGGCTGTGACTAAGGAAATCGGATGCTCGGCTGCACGGCAGTTCTTGGCACTTACGTCCCTCAGCATTCCTTTGGACACAAGATCAGATTCACTACCTGAGTCAACAAGCCAACTAACGCCGGCCTTTGGCGCAGCTGTGGCAATTGACGGGAAACGACCAATGTCTCTAAGGGCTTTGGGACCGCTGATGAACCTGCACTCTTTGCATGTGACGTCGCGTGTGTCCTCATCCCAACAACAAAACCCACAGCTTGGTGCAACATCTGAATCATGAAGTTTCACAGTTTCTTGGAGCTGTCTTGCACGAACCTGAGCTTCATGCTGTTCAACCTTTGATGAAACTGGAACATCTTCAGCTGTCTTGTACACCTTAGTGAACTCTCTTGGACGGTGCTTGACTGGGACTTGACGACCGACTGCCTTCACCTCGATCACATGTGGGGCCTTTCGGAATCTAAGACGCTTCATGCTAACACTTGCCTCATCAGAGCACGAAGTTGCCTTCGGCTGTTTTCGGACGATGCATGCAAACTTCTGGATCAGACATGGAGCGGCTGTGGAATCCTTGCCCTTCTTCTTGGGAGCGGGTGAATTGGCCCTTTTGGTGTCTTTGGTGGCGGCAGCGGCTTTGTCGTCATGTTTATAAAAACATTTGTCACCACGTCTGCACTTTCCCTGGGCATGATAGATGCATGGGGTTTTTGTCATTTCTTCTTTAGACATCTTCTTCCCCTTATCATCCTTATTGCCCCTTGATGGTGAACGTGTTTTGGTTCTTCTGGGTGATTGAGTTCGAGATTTATCATCTTTGACATGCTTGAATGGACACTTCTTCCCCTTATCACAGGTACCCTTTTGGAACTTATAGCAAATCTTGTCACCTTTGCCACCTCGTTCCTGCGATCTACCGCGACTTGGAGAGCCCTTTCGGCCGCCGCGACCATCGCCTTTGGCAGGTGCGGCCTTTGTGTCCTTAATCCCAGCCTTGTTCTTCTCCGCAATGCGGTTCCTGTTCTCCCTCAATCGTTCACGATCGATCAAGTTCTTCATGGATTGGTGAAGAAAACTGTAAGACTTTTCATGGGATTTCTCATGAGCACGGTCAAACACCTCGATGTCATATTTCAGCAGCTGACTTGGTCGGATCTGCCTCAACAAGATGTCCCTTAACACAGCATCATCAGGGGTGACCGCCATGCCAGCTAGGGTAGCATCCCATTTGTTGATGAATCTTCGGAGATCCTGGACAGTATCGCCTACTTTGACAACACCCAAAAGATCTTCTACTCTGTAAAGGCTACCTGCTTCTTCTGATGTCTTGAAGTAGTCCTCAAACATAAGCAGAACATATCTTCCCCTGACCTGGATGCCTTTTCGGGATTGCTGCTCCTTGAAATTCAAGATCCTAGTTGCGAGGTCCCCTCCGGCTGAGCGCGTGAGCGCTGCTGATAACTTTGTATCCAGCGTAAGGAACTTTCCAGGATCTTGGAGTTTCTTCTCCAACTGCTCTCTGGTGCACTCTTGATCGTACACCTCGTTGAGCCAGAGCCACGCCTCATCCGGGCGATCTGAACAGCTCTTCACTTCATCCCTGACGTGATTCTTCCAAGTTCTATATGACTCCGGAGCGGGCATGTTGTTCAGCTTGATGAGTTCAGCCTCCTTAGTTTTTGGCTTATCCTTTTCTTCCCTTTGGGTTAAGGCTTTCACCAATTCAATAAGATCTGAGGGACCCATTACTTGCTGTTGCTTGGTTGCGCTCTTGGGAGATTCATTTGGGGGAGTTTTGATAGCTTCAGTGGGAGTGAAAAACCCTGACTGCGTTGGCAATTGGGGCTGGTCGTTGCCGACAGCCGGCTTTTGCTTGGGACTGCCACCTTTGAGCAGCTCATCCAACTTGGCCTTTGCTTCCTGCGACAACACTGCAGGCGTCTTAAACTCAAGAATCGGCTCATCACTGCCTTTGGCAGCCTGTGCATCGGATGCTTTGGGAGTGGCAATATTGAAGTGGGTCACGCTAGTGGTAGCGGCCGGCTCGGCGTTCTGGACGGATGCTTTCGGAACGGAGGCATGCTGCGCTTTGGCAACATGCTTTAACTGCTCCTGAAGATCATCGATTTGGTCCTGAAGGCTAAGGTTCTGAGCCGCTGCCTCGTTGATCTTGTCGGCCATCTCCTTCTTGTAGTTCCCAAACTCAGTCCTCAAACTGATGAACCTGGCCTGATCAATTGCAGCCTGGTCTTCATATTGCTTCTTTGTGGCAGCTATGGCATTCTTTGCATGTTCAACTGTCTGTGCATAGGAAGCTTCAAATTCACTAGTGATACGTTTTCTTTCCTCTGCAATTTTCTGATCATGCTTTGTGTTTGCCTCTGCCTTTACATCCTCTATTCTTTTGTCATGCGATGCCTGAGCCTGATTTAACCTGACCTCCATCTCGTCGCCTCGTTTCCTCTCCTCGTTGAGGGCACTAATGGCATTACCTTCAACCTCCTGCAGCCTTTGCTCATACTCCTGTTCCTGCATTACGAGTCTACTTGACCATTCGTTTCGAATTGAGTCAACTACTCCATGCGTTATCTGAAGGTGCCTCTGTTCAGCTTCCCTCATGACTTGCAGGGTATTCCCACTAGTAATCTGGGACAGGTTGTTTTGTATGAAGGTAAAGTACGCAACAACGGGTTGGAACATTGTTTCGTCATCCATCGGCTCGGGGTTGCCCCCGGCCATATTAGGCACAGCGACAGCCGATGGACCTGACCCTGGAACGGCGAGAGGATGGTCAATTGGGGTCCCCATAGCAAAGTGGTGAGACTACGGCTGATAACCTGTATATTCACAGGTCAGCCACCAATTAGGTATTACAACACTAATGGGGTGAACCTACAAACCGCTCAGCTCCTGGTACTTTTGAACCAACGCTATCGGGCAGATCGATGATATATACAATACATGGTTTTACTGCAGGAGTTTTTACAAATCCATATTAATCCCCAATATCAATCAGTCAGTTCGTAAAACCTCTTGTATACACCCATCAACAGGGGTATTCTTAATGGTTCGCGTAATTTTTTGCTGTGTAGCACTTGATTGCCTAGTATTGAATTCCTGTAGCCTGGGCGCAGGGCGGCGCAATGCCCTGGAACGTTGCGCGTTGTCCAATCTGGATGTCAATGCCTACCTGTACCTCCTCATGGCCCCCTTGTGTCAATTCCTTTTTTAAGCTACGCATCATTGTGCTCTGGGAAGAGGGGCTATAGTCTTGCAAGTTCTTAGTTTGGCCAAATCAGCAAAGGCTTTAACATGATGAAAGCGACGAAACGCTGTTTGTAGAGGGATGACTCTTGCGCAATCCTTTGTTACAGTACTTCAAATTACTTCAAGTCTTGCGCGGTGGTGCGAAGGCCCTGCCGCGTATTTTCTTGTGTGGTGTGCCCACAATTCACTTGGACTGAATTGAGCGCGTTAGGTAACCCGGAATCCTTTACATTTCTTGCCACCATCTGTGTAAGAGCCTTTGAGCCTAAGATCCTATAGCTTCCCTGGGAATGTCAAGGACAATCTTTGAAGCAACCACACCCCAGGTCCTACGTTTCAAAACACTGGACCCTAGAGGTCTGGTTGGTGGAGAACCAAAATTTGAGAAAGCCTCGCTCATGCAAACTTGTGTGAAATTTGTGAGTGCATAAATTATCATGAATATATGAACCCGCAGTTTCCTGTCTCAACATCATGGCAGTGCCTCTGGCTCGTCTGAGCAAACGGTTGCAGTGGCTTTGCCATCTTCTGCGAAACCGAGGAAGGTTGCCTCGACCAACACCCAGCAATCATATCCCGGCAAAGCACTCGGGCCCAACAAGCTTACATGAGACTGCCCTGAGATGCAAGAACCGTCCTTGGAACAAGATCAAACGACAGCGCAAGGCACGGTTGAAAGACAGCACACGATATATACATTAAGAATACAGATGGAATGATAAAAATACGACTCATGGGTTAGCTGCGAAAAGAGAGTCAAAACACGGAGACCGGGACAACACATTGGAAATTCCTGGTCCACGGCGTCCACGGCTTACTCTCTTGGAAATCACAGATTCGATGGCAATGTTCGCCACACCAACTTACAGTTCAAAACTTGCCCCATCAAGAGTATCTCAACGTATCTCTTTTCTTGTCTTTATCTGATTGCAAAAACAGGACAGGCCAGCCTCGCCAATCAGCGCACCCTCAGACAGCTGAGCCACCATTTGAGAATCGACAATCACGTTGAGCGTCCCTGAAAGGAGCAACCACAAGTATTCGTTTCGTTCTCCTTGCGTAGTCAACAGATCACCTTTGTAGTATTCTTTATTCTCTCCGACTTTTAAAAAGCGGGGAACTTCTGCCATGCCAAGTTGGGGGAATGCTCTTCGCAGCTGGATCAACAGCTTGAGAGATTCCTCGGGTGATCTTCGCCCTGCTCCACGACCCCGAACCATCTTCTCGATCAACTCTTCAGAGATCGCTGCCATCAATTTCTCTCCAAGCAGGTTCTCGTATTCACAAAATGCCCGCAGCTTTTCTTGCTGCCATCGCAAAGTCCTCCAAGGCTCAAGGCTTTCACAAGACTTCCAAAGACCAGCAAACAGCATGATGGATTTCTGATTTTTTGGAGTTCAGGTTGCCGTTATGACACTGTGCCGTTTCTTGTGGCATTGGATATCCATGGGGCCATCGGGGGGCTGAAACTCAATGCCCAAGATTTGACTGATTGAAACATATTGAAACATAAGAATCATAAGATTCATAAGACTCGACATGTCCTAGCTCCATTGGGTGCTGCGTAGACAGTAGCAGTAGCAAGCTTATCACGAGGATCGAGGAAAGTGACCTCCCCAACGATTGCCTTTCGCTCCAGCGTTGAAGCCACCTGTCCACTGACCTCCACCAGCAATTTTCCAGAGATCACCAACCATAGATAGTTGTTGTTGGATCCTTGCTCTGTCAGGATTGATTTCGAAGGATAGAACACCTCCTCTGCTTGCTTCAACAGCTTTGACAGGTCCCGTTTTGGTAGTGATGGGAAGGCATTCCGAAGTTCTCCAACGAGCCATGTGTCTTGCAAAGAGAGTGGTTCTTGCAATGCAAAGGTTGTCCGCAGCCATACGGCCACCGATTGAGATGCAAACAAAAAAAGGGACCCACAGATTGCCGGGATCAGTATCAACTGCACTCCCTCGGCCACCCATTGCCAGTCTCGCACAGCAGGTAGTCGTGGTAAAGATTCATCAACGGCCAAAGTGGCGAAAGCACCCGCTGGTGCAAACAAGCTGCGAGTTGATCGCATCCAGAGCAGAGACCCGCTGGCAGCTGCAGCTCGTGTCAGTGAAGGGTTGTCCCCTCCAAAAAATAAATAGCTATCATTGCCTGAGCAAAGATGGATGCAAAATGATGCGAATTCTGGCAAAAAAAATATAACTTAATGTATACAATGTATACACTAATGCAAAGTTGCTCAAATTTGGTATCAAAATTGCACACAACGTCTGCGATTTTGCTGGTTGACAATGGCATGCTAAGTGCATGCAGGTCATCTATGACTTGGCCCGCTTGGCCCGTGTCTCAAGCCACATGACACTATTATTTTCTACTTTCTGCGCTTTGCAGCACGTCGAAGGTTCAAACCATCTTAAGTTGAACGTGATACATTTCCGCCGACCCCTGCCGACAGCAGGGGGCGCATCAGAGAAGAGGGGACAAGAGGGGCAAGAGGCAAGAAGACGGACTGCCATCGTGTTTAGGCCGCAGGCCCGATCCGTCCTTCCCTGCCATGGTGTTTTAGCCCTGCAACACAAACCTTGGACCCGAGCTGTGCAAGACAAAAGCCAGCTGCAAGACGCAGCAAGTTGTAAGCTGGCAGTGCAGAACGGCAGGCAAAGGCAAGCATTGGAGCTAGTTTCTAGTCAGTTCAGAAAGTGACGTTTGGCAGTCTCGGCTGCTGGCCCAGGGCCCGCAGCTCCAAGACGCAGCAAGCAAGGTGGAAGCTGGCAGGCAAAGGCAAGGTTTGGAGCTAGTTTCTACTCACTTCAGAAAGTGACGTTTGGCACCCTGGGCTGCTGGCCGCGGGCCCGATCCGTCCTTCACTGCCATGTGGTGTTTTAGCCCTGCGACAAGGTCCTTGGACCCGAGCTGTGCAAGACGAAAGCCAGCTGCAAGACGCAGCAAGTTGGACGTCACTATGCTAGAGGCTGCAGGCCGGGAGGATTACCCTTGAGAAGGTTATCCCCGGTCCGCAAGCCAGTGACCTCTGCAAAGCAATCGACAGGACAGGAATGCTGAAAAGCACGTAAATTGCGTTTTTTCATTCGCATAAACTTTTTCGTTCTCCTCAGCCGCACGTCGGTACCGTACAGAGCTGAAATGTGAACCTTGATCACCACTTCGCCCCTTTGCTTGACGTGTTCCCGGGCTCGGCAGAAGGGGGAGAGGGGGGGCGGAGGAAGCGAGAGGGGGGCGAGAGGGGGGACGAGGAGGGGGGTGTGAGGGCGAGAGGGGGGCGAGAGGGGGGCGAGAGGGGGGCGAGAGGGAGGCGAGAGGGGGGCGAGAGGGGCGAGAGGGGGGGGCGGAGGGGGCGAGAGGGGGTCCAAACGAGTGGCTTTGGGGGGGTCCAAAAGAGGCGTCGCCCAAACAGCTAGGTTCTCGCGGTCAGAGACGCAGAGCTAAAAGCTCTTGCGGTCGAAGACGCGGAGTCGAGGTCCTGCGGTTACCATTTTGGTACGCGGACCTAATAATTCGTACGGAAGGTGTGGCGACACTAGGGAGGGGGCGAATGTGAACCCAACCCCTGGTGTAAAGTGCCTAGTTGTCTGACCCCTTCTGTTTGTACGGCTACTGGGAGCCGCGTTGAGTTCACTCCGCTTGCTCCTGTCACTTTTGGCTCAAGGTGCGCTGTGACTCCGGTTTCACTGCAGCCTTGCAAAGCAAGGTTGTGGCACTAACTGAGCAGTAGCCGACCGAGCGACAAAGGTGATCTCTGGGCTGGTGAGACTGGCGGGACTCTTTGGTTCGCAAATAATGCGATAATACGGTAATACCTTAACTATTGTATATGATAGTATATGATGGCATATGGTGGTATATGACACAGTACATGATTATTAAATTATTACCCAAGAACCTGATTCGGTGACCAATCCGAAGAGTTCTGTGCAGTCAGGAAGTCTCGTTGAACATCGAAGCATTTGCCAGGAAACTGGACTCTTCAAGGCAGAAATAGACGAGATATGACGATATATGGTTCGTTCAGTTCGTTCTGTTTTGGAGCCTTGAAGAAGATCAAAGGTTTTGATTCGATGTAGAAAAAGTCTGATGAAACAATCTGGTAGTTCCAACAATTCCAACCATCCAATGTTACGTTGAGCAATTCACGCCACACAAATCATCACATGTATTTAACCTTTTTGGGATACGGTACTGCAACAATGTCTCAACAGTAGGCAATGGAGAACTCAAACTATATACAACTATAATCAACTATAAGGAATATCCGAAAAACAAACAAAACTCTCTCAAAATCATCGACCAGCAAAGGTCTGACTTGGGGATTGCACAGATTGCTGCTGAGCCGCACACAGCGCACATCCAAAACAGGCAACGATTACCGTGCGCACGGCTTCCGTATCTCCTGTGGTGAAGGCGCGTCAAGACTTGCAAAAGGATGCTTGGACTTTCAACGGAGACCGGGTCAAACACAAACAGTCACAGTTTTTTAAAAAATTAAGAAATGAACTGTTTTTTGTTTTTACTGTGTCCGGTATTTGTCTCTCCCATTTCTGGGTATCTTTTGGTCTTTTAGACAGGCAAAACAAATGTTTCACAGTCTCCATCATCCGGCCTAGAGCACCTCGACGCCCTTGCAAGCCCGGACCAAAGAGGAGGACAACCACAGAGCCTCCACAGTACGGCACAGCACAGTTTAAAGATGTTGTTTAACTGTATGCTGTTTAAAGATGTTTAAAGTATATGTCATAAATTGTTATGAAAGGATTTTAGAGAGTATGTTTAAGAGACTAGAGATGATTAGAGTATGTTTTCAAAGATGATTGAGATTGTCTAAGTCTGTTAGTTTTTTTTGAAATCTGAAGTCATTGGAACTTGCTCAGCCCTAGGCCACACAGGGTGGAGCACGCTACAGGTAAAATCTGAATTGGTTTCTGCCCCAAGGATGCGTGAGGTTGAAGCAGGGCAGAAGGGAAGGGGTGGAAAGCATGGAGCAGGTTGTATAAGGTATGTCAGCTAGGAAAGGCAAATGGGATCTGCATGACACATCTGACAATATAGATCAAACAGCCAAGCAAAGAAGTAGATACGCCAAACAGAGAAGTTTTTGAGATGCACAGGACCATTTGGCTGTTCTCAAAGTTGAAGCAAAAAAGACTGGCAGCAAGTTGTTGATGTTCAAAAACACTAAAAGCATCTGAAAACAGCATAAATTCCTCTGTGCTTTGAATGCATGCCTGATCCGATGCTCTCCATGCTGCTCTGAAAACATATTAATATACATCTGTCGATATCAAAAGCGAGAACTTGTTTGCACGTGCTTGTATATCAAATATATATATATATATAGTATATATATATATGCACATATACAAACCAAAAACCCTTGTAAAAAAGAATAAAAAGCCAGTTCTCAAATCAAAAAGAAAGCAAGAGTTGTTGTGGCTAGAACTAGAAGCAAGAGTTTGAGACGTTGTACCCATTGTTGCTTGCACACTGGATCGTCAGGCACCAGCCCTAAACTCACCAACACTCACGATGGCCTCCTAACTCTGCAAACTAACAAAAAGTTACAAACGAGTCAAGTAACCAGTCCTAAACGACGACACTCTCGCTACACTCAGATGGCTGCCCGCCTAGGGGAGGGGCCCATAGAGTGAAAGCACTGCCACCAACTCCCTGAATTGATGAAGCGAAAGCATCGATTTGGCCTTGGCTCATGTTCACTTTTGGATCATGCCTGATCAGAATTTTGTGAAATGAGCAGAATTCAAAAAGGTCTGTCAAAAAAAGGTTGCTCTTTACTTGTGATTGGACCGTTAGACCAATGGAGGACAATTACACAAGGTGGAAAAACATCAAGAGGTGAGCCTGCATGGGAGAGAAGCCAGTAACTAAAAAGCATCAAAAGGAAAGTTGGTGGCAGGGCTGAATGGAAAACAACAGCACAATCGACGGTAGACTATTTCGTATCTCTGGTCTCTTGAATCTGTCCATGCAAATGCCGCAACATCTCAGAGTATCAGTATATATATATATATATATCGGTATCATACTGAAACATACAGTGTTTATAAATGTATGTACAGTATGATTGTATTCAAAAAAAACAGTATTAATACATTAAAAGCACCGCAAAACTTCACAACCTCCGGCTTCTTCCTAATATCAACTTCTCCAACGGGCTAGTGCGAGTCATGGCATCGCCATGTCTAGGTACCCAGGATGTAAAGGGCAAGGGCAACTCCAATGGCACCTGCAAAAGTTTTTGGCTTGTGCCAAGTTGTTCAAGTTGTCAGCCAAGAAAAAAAGACACCAAAAAAATCCGAAAAGTGTTTTTAAGATTTGGCAAAGAGCACCTTCAAGGGCTTGGAGCATCGATGTCCGAAATCTTTGCATTTTTCGGCAGGTTTTGGTGGATTTGTGTTGTCAAAGTTGTCAAAATCCACCAAAAAGATGAACAGGCTAACAGGGGTCAACGTACATCCAACATATCATTGTCGATCAACTCCGGCTCTACATGTGCGTATGGCATCTTATAGTCATATTCTGCGGCATGGTGATGGTGAAACAGAACATTGAGGGCCGAACTTGTAACCAGTTCGTAACTTTCTGGGACGGGTGCTTCAACTGTAAGTTCTTGGAATGGCAAATAGTTTCGACCTGCATCGCCGTGTTTGCGGCATTGGGAGAATGAGCCAGGACCTTCATTTGTAGTACGTGTTTTGGGTACGTGAAAAATCAAAAAATAGATTTCAGACACGTCAAAAAAATGCGAGACATAGTAAGGCTGATTCATGCTGATTCCCTAGTCCCACTAGTTTGCTTCCATAGAATCCATAGAATTGGTTTGACTATGTTTGACAGTTTGACTAATCGGGATCCTCATCAGTCCAGTTCCGTAGGCAGCTCCAAAAATCCGAGGCTGTTACGCACCCAGCCAAACCACCTTGGCCGCAAAGTCGCACAAAACAAATGACACTTTTCAGATCTTTTCAGAGTCTCAGAGAATCTAAGCACCGCATGCAAGCACCCCATGCCTTTGGTTCCCTCATACTCTCTGTCATACCGAGGCACTCTTCGAAGCTGACTCGCTGTGGGCCATTGTCAGGGCAAATGTCCTCCAAGTACTGTGCAACACCGCTTAACATGACTCTTCACACTTCACAGTCTGGTACTCTGCCCACATCCTTAATGCTAAGCTGCTAATTGCACCCCAGCCTCCCAGCTGAGAACTGTAAGCAGTTGGGTGGAGCAAATCCGACGCAAAGAGAAGCAGCACTTAATATTCATTGAGTGCCGAACATAATTACATGTCGTGACTACTGAGCCAGGAAATTCTTCGAAAGCCTTCAAGATCTTCAAGATCTTCCAGATCTTCAAGGCACATGTTGAGATGTGACGGTTGCGAGAGCGTCCTGCCAGTAACCGTCCAGCTCCTCGCGTGATCCAGATCTTCAAAGGTACCACAGACCATTGCAGGTCGCAGGGCTGTCTTTTGCCATTTTCGATTCCAAAATTGGCTTATTCAGAATTCACGGACTGCACCGAATGCATCGAATGCACCAATACCCAACAAGTATGACAGTATGACAGTTTTTGCCTGTCCTCTGCAGTCAGCTCAACCTGAGCATGTACCCATAGCGAGAACCACTGAATGACTGGCCCTTTGAAGTTGTGCCTTGTGCCCATCCCCCTGTGCTGCATTTTCTTATGCCGTCTTATATGTCTCGGGTTTGAATTTCTATGAAATTATGGTTTCCCCTCCAAGTTGTTTCCCAGCGTCACTTCACATTTTGTTCAAAGGTCACTTAGGCAATGGCCTGCAAAGTTCGCTCCACAAGCTGAGTAAACTCCTGGCAACAGAAGCTTCTGAGTCCTTCTGAGCTACTAGTCCACACGGACTCCACACGGGTAAGCACCACGGACTCCACACGGGTCTTAAGCACGACAAAATCATAGAGTCTGATCCAGTGATATCCAGTGTACATGTCTATTTGAGCACGGACGTTGATACACTCTCAGAGGCGTCGCTTCTGCCACTGGGCTCAGTCACACATTAGAAACAAAGCACTGGTGGTGTTGGAAGATTCACTCATATTTGGCAGATTGCAGATTTCATCGAATGAAAATTCATCTCTGCAGGAAGATGGGGCCCCACACACTTTTTAAAGCCCATTGAGCCAAAAAGCTATTAAAGCTTCTGCAACACAAGGCCACAAAGCATCCCAAAGCCAGGACTGCAGAGGCGCACAGGTCTCACTTTGCGAGACGCAAAACACCTACTGCTGCTATTACGACATGTTACGACAGTGCTGCCTCACTGCTCTTGGCAGCGGAAGATATGCCACAAATCAACGTCCTTTGAGGCCTTTCAGCATCTTCCATCTTCAAACGGTAAGCAATTCAGTTTCTGTCTGGGAGCTCTTGGACTGAAGTTTGCACGCTGTTGCATCACCTCAACCAGACAGGAAGTTCGGTTTAAATGTTCGAGTTTTGCAACCTTCAAATATGACGAATCTGTCCTCTGTGCACTTGGGGATATAAAGAATTTCCACCATTGCAACGCCAAGCCAATCCGCAATAAGGCCAAAATGCTCTCCAACCTCGATTGTTGTTTCATGCTTACATCGAAGATGTTGTGTAAGTAGGTCATAGTAGGTTCACCGCCTAATAACTGGCCGGGGCTTGAGGAGCTGTTTCTTAGTTATCATCCATTGTGAACATCGGACAATTCAAGTGGAGAAGAATTATATCCATAATTTCGATGTTTGATGTGCGCAATTCCTTTGGATAAAAACTGGCTTCTACCTTCCAATAGAATTGAGGCGTCAAACGTCCCTTTGAGGCAACCCGCAACTAACGCGGGTTTGAGCTTGCAGCATCTTTTTGCTTACGCTGTCTTTTCAGAACGCGCTTTAGATGTCATGATGTCAGTAAGAATCGCATGATTTCAGAAGGATAATGAGGGTCAATTGCTCGAAAATATCCTCCATTTGCACAAATCTCAAGCATGACATCTCACATTTGGGTTCCAAATGTGGATATCTTTTTGGTCGGGGGTGACGAAGGCTGCTCGACAAATCATGACAAAGCAACATAATATCAACTGCATCAGGCTTGGCTTCGTTTTCTTCGTTTTGAACTTCGGACACTGATGGAATTTGCGGGCCAGCCCAACCGCAACAAAACAACTTCGGGCCGTTCAGCCAAAATACTCCAAAGTTCCCCGAGTCTCTTGCAGTGAAGTAAAAGACGTGATCTGGCCCATCTACATCATCTGATATGTCGAGAGTCCATCGCAGGAAATTCTTGTAATAGTTTTCTTAGAAGGCGAGGAATGCTGCAAGATGTCACTTCAATGTCACAAGCATCCAAGAGACACAGCGTCAAAACAAGCCTAGCTGGGCCTAGCTTGCCAATAGCGCCAAGCGCCAATGCCACATGTCACGAATATGTCCAAACAGTCCGACTCTGTCCGACTCTGTCCGACTCTGTCCGACTCTGTCCGACTCTGTCCGACTCTGTCCGACTCAAGAGCCAGACTCTGTACTCTGCTTTGTTTCTCTGAGTTGCTCAGCGAATTTTGAGAAGAGAAATCAGGGCACCCGGTCATTGCTCCAGTGAGTGTCGAAGCCTGATTTTTTCAAGAGACGAGAGGAAAGGCAAAAGATGAATTAGTTCAAATCCACAACTATTCGATGAGAATTCACGAAAGGGTTCAAACTCCAGCAATGTCAGCAAAATGAGCATTGTACCCTGCGGCTGAAATGTTGAGGATGACTTTAACATATTTTAACTTTTAAATTTTAATTGGCTTATTGAAGTATTTATTGTTTGTTCTTACATGTTATTACATGTTTTTACTTCAATTTTATGGCTACACAAGGCAGGCCTGTGGAGAGGACCAGCCAGTTTCGCCAACCCAAAGAGTGCTGTCTCTTCCAACGAGCATCCTTTGCTGCTGTCGTCGTAACATGTCACATTGCATGGATTCACTTCGACAAACAAGTCTTGACAGTCCTTCAATTTTTGTGAGAGAAGTATAGAGAAGTTGTTGTTCCTTCACAGACTTTGTTTTGCGATTGGATTCTGCCTACAACATCTGACGCCAAGAGTCGTCGTCTTTTTCCGCATCAATGCGACGGTGTCGGGCAAGTTGCAACCCTTTTTGAAACACCAATCTGTCTCAAGACTAGCACTGCATTGATCGGTGGTCCCTGGATCTAAAGCATTGTTGGGTGCAAAGTACGGGTAGACATTGATTGTGAATACCCATCGTGTACCTGGGTGTGAAACAAGCGAGAATGCTTGCAGAAGACAATCCGTAGTATGAGACATTTCATGGCGTGCCCTTCCTTTGCATCGGACAAGCTGAGGGATGTTTTCCTCCGTGATGATGGAGTGAAACGACATGCTGACGATACAATGAAGCGCATCCAAGGCGCCAAATTTCTTGATGGCTTCTTTGAAAAAAGTCTGCACCATGGCACCAGGAGTATCGACAAAAGGTGAACCAGAAAGGATGTAGCCGCCGAATACAGATGTCAGGGGTACGTCACCAAAGCCGTCCTAAGCAGACTCAAATCAAAGAACTCAAGGACCCACCCGACCCACCTCAGACCTTACGCGTGTTGCACACTCTTCACTCTTCACCATGGTAAGCTCTCGTCAAACAATGACGAGACTGTCTACAGGCTCTTCTTCATCAAGGCTCCAGCGCATCTAAATCCGCAGCCCTCTCCGAAAGTTTTCGCAAGAAGTATCCCCCGTGCCACATTCTTTGAATGCAGTCTTGTGAAATATTGGCCTTGAACTGCAGCAATTCCATCTCATTGCCGATAGCAATACCTCAGTTTGCTCAGCATTGGCTTTTTCATCTTCAACGATGCTTAAATGTGAAAAGGATACAGAAGTCAAAAGTTGTTTCATTTCGTCTTGTCACAATTTGTTAAAATGTGCTACAATTGTTAGACTTGGCAAATGTCCAAACCTCCTGCTCCACCTTGGCCCCATATCCAGGATGTGCTGGCAGATGTCACATTTGGATTTCGCGAATTTAGTCAAAGCAGAACATGCATGTTTCGATGAGTCTTTTAAACAAATGAGGTCCTCGTGAAGGTAGTTGTGCTGTTTTGAATTGGCCAGAACCTACGTATATATATTTCTCGATTATTCTGTTCTAATATGTTGTCTTTTCAGTCCACGCAAAAACGATTCCGTTGAAAGTTTTCCCTCTGGCGAAAAAGTCTTGAGGCGTCCCCAGAGGTCCCCAGAGTCCTGGTGTCCCAGTATGCCGCAGTATGCCTGAGTCCATCGTGTCCTAGTATGTCCTAGTCAAACTAGTCACACTGCGCCTGCGCTAGGCTTCGAGCTTCCGGAGATTTGAAGGCTGTAGTGATTCCTATGTACAAATCGGAACTCAAGAAGTAGATCTGCAACCGCCCAATTTCTGTTGTTGACCCGGCCCATACAATCCATACATATTTGATTACTTTTTCTTCGATTGAACGTTTTTTATGTGCCATGCAGTTCTTGCCGGATCCGGATTCTTGATGATTCTGGACATTTCTGGACCATTTCACTGAATTTGGCAGTTGTCCGGAGATGTCTGCTGCGTATATTTGGATTCTCTACTTTGC